GGGCCGGGGCGGGAGCGGCCTTCCTAGGCCGAGGGTTGCCGCCAGACCCCCCGGCTCGGGTTTTCCCATTGATCTGGAGCCCGGAGTCCCTTTCGAAGGGGGGCTCGGGAGAGCGGTTGCCAAAGAGGCAGGTGGTGTAGAAAACACCTTTTTTGAGATGGAATTTTCATTGCTTTATCTGCAGCCCAAGTGCCCGTTTTGCTTGCTGATCATTTGCGAGGGGCAGAAAGGAAAAAAAAAAAAATCACGCCGGTGATGCAGACCGAGCATTACTTTTTCAGAATAAATAAAATCAAATGTCATTTAAATAAAGGGAATGCATTTTACTAAGAAAATAGAAGACCAGAACACACATTTCAATAGAGTTACAACATTATACAGGAGAAAAAAAAAACCCAACCAGTTCACATTTAAATACAAATTTCGTTTCAGCTGAGCAATGACCCTCTCCAGTAAAGCCAACCCTGGACGGACGAGGCCAGAACTTGCTCTCACAAGCACCCCAGCAGAATTTGTTAATTTGCATAAGGTAGAGATGGTTAAGATAAAAATAAATGTAAGTTATTTTGCCATTTCATTTCTCCACAAAACTGGCCGTCTTACTATGCTTGTGTAGTCCTAAAAGTATTTTTACTTCCATTAGAAAGGAACTGCTTAAAGGATGGATGAGTCCCAGGTACTCGGGGAGCTCAGTTCGTCCAGTGCCCACTTCGTGAGCGGGGAATATAAACACACACCCCGGGGCTCCGGCACCGCGACCCCAACGTCTGATGCGAGAGAGCTTTTCACGTGAGCTGTAGCCGCGGTCCACCGTGCCACCAGGTACCGGATTCCCCACGTTTGACGTAGCTGCTAGCACGTGTTCCTCCGGAGCAGGCTGCGTCCTCGCCGCATGCTGCAATTCAGGAAGCGACGGCAGGGAGCAGAGGTCTAGAGCGCGCTGAATTTTCCTCACCGTTCAGCCAGAACATCTGCAGGTTTCTCAATACCACGGTCATGTGTATTTTGGGAGTAGGTAGGTAGGGCAAGGTAGATCTGTACAGAATTAGATGTCCCTTCACCAGCGGCAACTGAATTACAGTGCTCAAACTCAGCTGTCAAGCGGGTGCAATTAGAGCTTTGCTCCAGATTTTCTCCTTGCTCCGGTATTCAGTGTAACACCAGTCGCTGCCCATTACGTACAGCTGTTATGAAATGGGATAGCAGTACGCGTCATCGTAAAAGGAGTCCGAAAACATCAGTAGTTTTCTTAAACTCAGGAACAGTGCTTCGAGCTGAGACACAGCAGAGTCCCAACAGTACTGTTCTTACAGTCCGATCCGAGGGGCCCGTCGGTACCTGTACCCCAGTGACACAGGTGCTCACATCCGCACCTTGGAAGTCAAGGACACCCGGAGCAAGTGAAAGAAGACAGCTTGGATTTACTCAGGCCCAGCTGAAGTAAAATTCACAGTTGTGGCTATACAATAGTGATCCCCATTCTCCTACAGGAGTAGTCACTAAACAGGGCAGCTAACGAGAAACTAAAAGGTGTATCATTTATCCTTACAGTTACTACTTTATCCCCTCCTGCAAAACAGCGTGCTGGGAAAAAACAGTACAAAGACACGCACCTACCACAGGAAACCTGTTAAAACACCGATCTGCATGTGAAGTGTGGTTTCATTTTGGGCTTGGAAAACAAACACAACACCATGAAACATCACTGTCCACAAACATAACCGAGACCTTAGGTGAGGAGTCACCTTTGAGTTTTAAAAAAATCTATCAGACACAACATTTTAATAGTCTTCCTCTACAGGTCAATTGTTGGCACGCGGGCATACGCTTCAGGAACACACAAACCTTTGTAACATCTTTGAACACGAACACACGTATTTAACAAAAAAAGGCTGCGCTCCCTCTGCTACCTTTCTTCTACTGCCCCAGACATTTCTAGACATTGCTGTCACGAGGCTCAGTCCTGCTCCTGTTGACTTTAAGGAAGCAAGCCTTGGACCGGTCCTGGAAAAGACTGAGCTACGACCTCAGTGGGAGGTTCTGATCCTCTCAGAAGTGTTCTGCACATCCAGAACATCATCCACACAGGAGAGACACGAGAGACAGGCTTCTATACCATTCGGAGGGCAAAAGTCCCCAGGGCTGTGGGAAGAGCTACACCACCGGTCACCCTTCAGGCGACAACAGTTTTTTAAAGAACATCATAAACTTAACGCTATGTAGCATTACAAAACGCATCCTGGCAACAAGTTTTTCCCTTTGCACGCTGCGTAAGAGAATGTTCTGCATAGACAAAGATCGGTAAATGCTTTTGAATAAGCCAGCAAATAGAAAAACATCCGGTTAAGTTGAATATGGAAAAGGATACTGTGGTTCCTTACTAAGCGGCAAGATTAGCAGTTGTAATTAATTCAAAGATTAATTAGATCTGAAGAATACACAAAACCAAACATAATTATCTATTTTATATATATTAAAAAAAATCTGAAAAAGATGAAAGGGAGAGTGAAATGCACTTAAAACTGTGAGGTGACATGTTACCTGTTGCTAATGGAAAACAATGGCTATACATTAAAGGTAAAATTCCACCATGTCTATGCTGCAAGCTACAGATGATCTACAGAACCCAATTAAACAACGTCTGCGGGTACATAAGCATAGATGAAGTCTAACTGGTACCACTTAGCTGCTGTAAATGGGACAGGTTAGAGAGAGCGAGACAGAGAGACAGCCATGCCTGCTCTGCTCTAGGGCTGCGACACGTCTGCAGCCCCATCAGGGCAGGGCTGTATCGTCACTGGAGCCTCTGAGCTGCCTAAAGACTGTTTTTGCCTCACCTGTCCAGCGGGATTTGCAGAAAAATTATGAGGGAACATTTCTACTTGGGGAAAATCCCACCGCTAGCCAGGTCCGAACAACCTCTCTCGGCATCTGCTTAAAGACAGCAGGGAGCCTGCGCCAGGAAGCGAAAGGACTGCACTTCACAAACCGGGCATCTTCCCTCAGCTTGACAGCAGCCACTGCGAATTTCCTGCGCGGGAGCTAGCTCCCTCTGGGAACCGAAAACACTCCTGCCCGGAGCAAGACTCCTGCTGCGCCCAGGCGCCAGGTTTTCCTGAGTACTATCAACGCCCACTGATTATGAACCATGACTGCACTTCTGGCCTGAAAAAAAAAGTAATAATCAGACTGAACAGATGGATGCAGATCTTTATTTCGTAAGACGGAGTTGTATTTACGGACCGACTGCCCTGCCTCTGTGATCATTCTCAGCCGGGACACAAGATCAGTGCATGGGATGTTGTGGTTACTCGTCTGCCTAATTAGTACGTTGGCAGAAGCGAGGAAGTGTGCGTGCCCAATATACTTGAATCCAATGATGCAGAACTCCACTGACACACTACAACAGGCTTCAGCTAGAGCTGAATTTTCGGAAGGTAAAAATAATTTGTACACTAAATAAATAATTTCTCAGTAAGATCACAAATTTAAATACAATAAAAACCAGGCATAGCAAAAATAGATGAAAAAAGCCTTCTTTGTAAAAACATCATATGTGCGTGTTGGTCTTTTTTTGTACATCTACTTACATACACAGGTTGCAAACCACGCACGTCGCCCAACTTGGCGATGTAGCATTTCGAGCCCCACCAGACAGCACTTTACCATGGTTTGAATACGCAGTCTTTTCCCCACATCGCTATTTTCTGCGTTTATATAATCAGTCTTCTTTCCTCACTTCAGTAAAGCCTCACCCAAGTTCACTCTTCTTTTTCTCTAATACACAAACTTCATTCTAAAATCAGAGACCACGCAGTAAGCGACAGAGACCACGTCCAAGGGGGTTCAGAGACTATTTTCCCTGTTCTGTTTTGGCCCCGTTCTGTGGAGACTGCATTTTCCAATATAAACGAGGATATGAGAGAGGTGCTTGCTGAGCAAGCTTTACTTCATCTCTTTGGATTCCGGCTTCAAGTTTGCCAGTATAGCCCTTTTACATCTAGCTATCTATTTATTTTTGTCCTTTTGTTGCCTTGATGCAGCAAACTGTGGAACAGCACATAATATTTACTTCTGTTCCTGACATACCGTTGGTTTTTGTTACACAGAGCAGATTTAGAGAAGTCATAGACTGTGACTATCATTGCATGTCCTTGCCTGCTGATGGAAAGTCACGGAGGGCGCTCAAACCTGATATGAAGGAAATGAAAAAGGAATGCACATCGTGGGATCTGTATCAAATGTGCAATGCTGTTCATTGCAAGGAAAAAATTCAACTCACAATTTTTGTTCTCAAATAAAAATCCTGACAAACCTGTCAAGGGAGCAAGGGAGATGAAGCGATCAGCTTAGAGATTTTAAGCATTAGATCTTTCAAACCTTTCAGTATTCAAACTGAACTGAATATACTGGACTGAGACCACAAGAAACACTCAAACTTCTGGAAATGTGCGTGTCAACAGCTGCCGGTACAACTTTCCGTTTCAGCTCCATCAGCTGCGCTGGGGGGGGCTTTGTTCAAAGTGGCAAGTGAGTCCGCTTAGGAGTCTCTGAGTCAGCGATGTCATGAAAACATCACACACAAGTCTTTTTGTGAGAACAAGGGTATGCAAAGGAGAAAACAATTTAGCTTAGAAGAAGCACAACCTTGGAAAAAAATTAACAGATGAAATAAAAATCCTTTGGTACATCACCTTGGAGCCCACTGCAGAAAATCTCCTTGTAAAAATCCCCAAAAGATTTCTGCAGATTACTTCAGATCCTGCCTTTACCTGATATAATTCATTATGCAAAAGCGTAGCCTTCTTTTTAAAAGCTATTAAGTGATTAATATTATTTTCAGGCTTTTCAAGGACAATTTTAACCGGTTCACATTTTTCCTGATCATTTCACACAACAATGAAAACACGAAATACAAACATGGCTGCAGATTCCCCACGTGCTCACTTCGTTGCTCCTCAAAGCACGTGCAAAGAAACAGAGCAGCCAGTGCCACAAGGAACGGGCATCTTTAAACATCAGACAAAACAGAAAGCCCATCAGACTGTGAAATTTGTTTTAAGCTGTCCTTTTTTTTTTTTGACAAATGCTCTCTGGTGATGTCACAGACAATGCAGTGTGATAACACCAGGACAACCAGAAGACTGATTATTAAAAGCAGAAATAAATCATTCTGGAAATCGGCAGTGATGAGAGAGCTATAGTTCATCATCAAACACACGTAGCTAAAATATCGTTACTGGAATTCTTTAGTGTGGTGCGGGCTCTAAGCTAGAAATGCAATGTCATTATTTAAATTCATTTTGGAGAGGGCTCTCATTCCTGTGACGGATGCCATCATCCATATAGTTCACCATGTACTTGAGAGAGTGGGGAGAAATCTACGTCAAGTGAACAACAGGGTAGAAGGGGAAAAAAAGACAACAAAATTAGCAAAAATAAATTACAGGACTCAAAGATCATGACTTAAATTGGTCTGAAAAAGGGATCCCTGCAGAGTAGAAGATACTGCCTGAGGAGCGCGACCTTCTGATGCATCAGTGAACCTTAGATTCAGGCCAGTCATACACATCTGGCATGAAGGATTCGTATTCGTAGGTCCAAACCTTTGATCGAATGTAACGGTTCTTGTCTGCAGGTTCAGGGTAATGGAAAGCCATGTTGTTTGCGTACAAAAATTCCATAACCTGGAAAGTTAAATCACCATGCAGTTTGTACCTTTCACTACAGTCACACAACATCCACGCTTCTCCTACAATATGTTTAGGACTCACAAAGACCAAAGTCCTTTTACAATTCCCGAATGCCTTACCACGGATCTGAAAATCTAATTTCAGAAATCAAAGGACCGTAATTTTGGCCCGTCATCAATGCAAAACTGAAGCACCCAACAAACCCAAGATTTCTGTAAGTGTCTCTTACTAAAGGCACAAAGAGCTGGGTATTTTGCGCCCAAGCACCTAGTGTTTGAGGGTGCTGCTGTGCAATTCAGCAGGTTAATGCACACATAAACCACTTCTAGTACAGGCCACTTTTATGCTTCATACTCACCTTGACAGCAATATAAATAGAAACTTCCCTGATATTAGACAGTGGAGGATAAAGCCTTCCTTGTGCAAGTTCTTCATCGGTCAACTGTTCTGCCAATGCCTGAGGTAGAAAAAAACCCTAAGTTCTATGTCCTGCATCCCGAATGGGATCAGTAACATGCTAAAACACCCGAGAGAAACATGTTGCAGTGTTCTTACTACTAGAGTGCTCCCAAAGCACTAGAATAAGGCACTCCAAATCTCAAAATCCTCACAGATCAACTCTTCAGTCTGTGCTCACGTCAGCAAATTCTGCTTGTAAGCATTTCGCAAAGTAAGATCGTCTTTTTTTGGAGGCTGAACTACCCACAACCACGGAAGTTAAAAGAGCGCAACACGCCTGCAGGACTGCAGTTTGTGTTGGGCCAGCTGATTCACTGGCTACTCCGACGTGGTAGGTGCTCCTGCTCCGGTGTGGAGAGGCATGAGAAGACGGGAGCCTGGGGGCCACGTGCATCCCCGACCGCAGCATCAGCGGTGGAACGCGGAGCGGGGTGGGAGGAGGTGGCAGGCCTCCTGCCACACCCACCAGGCTGGGAGGCCGCCTAACACGTGGACACATTTCCTATTTGGGTGTTTGCTTTCTGGATGGAAAAATAAATTTGCAATGAAAGCCGGCATTTTTCACAATTTTCTTTGATCCAAATCCATTTTTTTTCCATTGGGGAGGGATAAAACCAACAGAAATCAAACAGGAAATCACAGAATTTGAACAAGATTTGAGAAATTGCCCATCATGTCATCTCATCCACTGTCATGTCAGAAGCCACAGCCTACTCTGCTTCCACACTTACCTTAGCAGCTTCTAGGAAAACCTTATCACTAATATGCCGAACACTGCTGAGGATCACAGCGAGAGCCACGCCTACAATAAAATTATTGCCAATTAGGGCCACATCATTTTAATATATGCAGCCTGCTGCCGAGAAGCTGCGAGTCATCTAGAACGTTATTTTTCAAAAACCTTCCCATAGCTTTCTACGCACATTCGCAAAACTATTACCATGTGTGCTAGTCGTTTACCATAATAGGTGGCTTTTGACAAGGGGCTGCAGCTTAGCAGCTCACCGAGGAAAGGGAGAGAAAGGGGAAGGCAGAGAAATATCCCTAGTGCTTCTCCTGTACCCTCACTTGTGCAGACGTAACTTCACGAGCACCATATTTTCTCCTTCCCTCCCAAAACAAGCAGAAGAACCTATAATGCAGCAGCTTTCAAAGCCTTTAATAACACCCTTCTGTTTGCTTAGAAATATCCAGTCGGGTGAGCTCGTTGTGTGCACGTTGCCTATGTAGCTGCACATGCCTAACGTCCGTCCTTAACTGATTTTCTTTCATTCATTCATTCTTCTGACCAAATCCTCAGCTTTAAATGCCGGTAACAGCTCTGCATGCTGCTTCCCTAACTGCGCCTAGTGTAGCAAGGGAACCCCAGAAGAGGTGCTAACGGCCTAGTCTTAAAGATCAAAAGAAGCCAATTTCATTTGTTACCTGGAAAAATGTAAGCATTGTTTCCTTGGCCTGGTTTGAAGGTTCTTCCATCTTTCAGAGTCACCAGCTCGAAGGGACTGCCACTGGCAAACAAGCAACGGCCCTGTGAAACAGAGGAATATTCAGTCAGGCAGCGTCTAAGGAGCCAACAGTGCGGAGCAATACAGTCACTATGAAATACAGGGACACCAGAGTCCTACAGCTCCCGGTCAGCTCCGGGACTGAGTCAGGAAGGTACGTGAGCACACAGCCAAATGCAAAAAGGCAAACGGCCCTACTGAATGCAACGGGATTCAAGCCCATACTTAAATCCCTTGCTGACTCGATTTCTACAATCCCAGAATGACACCCACCAAAACTCACCCTTTCCAGGAGGGCTTGGAAGAGATACAAGCACCAGTAAGCACCTGCATGTTTCTGCAGCTGCAGAACACGCAATGTTTCTGCAAACATCTGGAAAGCAAAAGGAGCAAGCAGGCATGCTGAATTACACCATCAGGCTGTGCTGCG